AGCTCGCATGGCCATGGCAGTTGCACAGCACCATCACCATGCTCCAGCCCAAGACCAGGGAGACAGAGCATTGGGTTCACTACCGCAGATATGCCGAGCCTGGGAGAAGCTCTCACGGCCAGCGCTTGACCAGCGGACACGCGTCGACATTGGGATTCTGCTCTGCAGCTGCTTGCGAGAGGCGCCTCGCGTCCTAGGCGACGTGGTCTGCGACGCGCTGCAGCTGGCCAACGCCGCCACCCTTGCGGACATGCGACGATTCTACGACGCGTTCGACCTGCAGCAGGTCGTCGACGCCACGGGGCACATTTGGCTCCTACCACAGGTGCTTACCCTGGAGCTCCAGCCCCACGCGTTCGTCAGTTCCCTGCGCCAGGCCTCCACGCACGGTAAGCCGATATTGCCACCGCGCTCGCTGGAGGCACGATCAAGGCACACGAACAACCTGGCCATAGCAGCCATGTGCCAGGCCCTCCACCGCATGAACTACATGGCACAAGCCGCGGCTCCCAGCGCCTGGTTCGACAACGTGAAGCTCCGAGTGACAGGCAGCCAGAAGCATTCAAAGGCAACCGTCATTTCCGCCACGGTGACACACTATAAGTGCCTCAGCGAGCAGAGCCTCAAGAGCGTGACCGCCGCCTCAAGTATCGATATGACCAAAGACATCTGCGTCTAAATAAAAGAACGAGGAGTACCAGTGAAGCCAGCATCAGTCGGCCACGGCCTTGGCCAGGGCCGAGCGGGACGCACTCCGGCAAGAAGACCAGCGCGCAACGAGACTTGCCACCGTACGATTCAAGTTACGACGCCTGCGCACCCAGCGCAAGCTAGCACTGGCCACGCAGGGGCCAATCATATCCTACCTCTGCTGATGCAAGGTATATGGAGAGGCGCCCACAGCGGTCACCGTCGCCAGGACAAGATGCGCCAAATCCCCCGGGGAGCATTGGATGGGGAGATGCCTGCGCGCATGCCCATCGCTGTCGGAAGCCGACCCAGCAGTTTAAACAATGAGGCGCATCCAGCTGGGCCTAGTATCTACAGCAGACTTGGCCTCGCGATATTGCCGGGAGCAGCGAAGAGGATTGATCGGCGCCATAATTCTTTCACTCTGGGAAGTTGGTCGGGGCCCGATCTCGCCCGCGGAGTGGCTGGATCACGTGGGCAACGCCTGGCAAATGGGCGAGGGCGACGACGACCGCAAGGGCGACCCATCCGACGTCATCCACGCCATCCTGGAAGCCCAGCAGCTCCATCATTGGACCAAGGCCTCCGGCCACTGGCTGGGCAAAGGCTCAGAATTTGGCATCGACACTTACGAACTCATCAAGGAGCTAAAGGTGCAACGCTAAAAGAGGCAAGCACAGCGGGGCGGGCGCGCTGCTGGCGGCGGCGAGCGATGGCGCGTGGACGCCAGACCGCAAGCACACGGCACTCTCCGATGCATTCAACACCTGCGCCTGTGGCGAGATCTGCGACGACCTCCACAGAGTCTTGGGTGCATGCGCTTGCAGGGGCGACCGCGAGGATTACGATAAGACGGAATGCTGCAGACCAGGAGCTGCTGATGGGGAGTCAGCATGCACCTTGCTTCTGGCCGCGAGGACTCGCGCCGAAAGCATGGGCGGCGCCGCCAGACTGCGGTGCCACAGCTCAGAAACGGGGAGGTAACGACTACTGACGACACACTGTGATGTGCACTGGCGTCAGCGGAGGGAATCACACGATCCACGATATCGAAGATGTGGATGAGGATTGTCCAGGCTGCAGCAGCACGGCGAAGACTGGCAATTGAACGTTGGATAGTGCGGACCTCTCCAAGGACGACGGCAAACCAACAACAGGGCGGGGCTGTGGGCCATACTCCAGGCGATACGTTGCTCATGGAAAGGTCTCCACGTCTGGACGGACTCCGAGGTGGCCGCTCGAGGATGGCAACGCGGCCGCCACATACACAGCATGCGTCGCCGTGCCAACGACGACATCTGGAACATCATCGGTAGTGCACTGCGACAGAGAGCTCCAGACCACGGAGACCCCGAGGAGCTCGTCAGGCTGCAGCATGTGCCGGGTCATCTAGACGACGAGCATTGGCTGAGGCTCGGAGTGAGCCTCGAGGCGCGCGCGGCCTGGCACCGCAGCCACGGATGCGCTGGCCGAGGGGGTTGCGGAGGCGCGCGCCATCGCTGCCCTCAGCTCAAGATGTATAAATGGGTGCGTACAGCCTGCGCGCTGGCGCGGACAATATTCATTCGTGCCCACATCGAGGCCTGCGCCAAGGACCCCGGCACCCAGATAAGCCCAAGAAGAAAGCCACCAGTGAGGTGAGCCAGGTCCTTTCTGCCTCGCCCCGCGTCCTCTTCCCCTCGCGTAGCCGTTGGCAATGCTCTGCTTGTAAGGAAGTTGTTAGTAAACGTGCTGATGCCTTGGTCATCAAGAGATGGCTAAAACACTGCATAATTCGTCCTGGGACTAAGTTCGCCCGTGGTCCCATGCAAAGCGTCCAGATAGGGAATCTATCAGTCCACCCCTCCCACACGACGCAATCTGCCGAACGTTGTTCCACTTGGTGTACCACCTGTGGCCGTCGGTCCGAAGCGTCTGGCCGAGGGAACGTCAAAGGCTTGTTAATACAATGTAAGATCCCGAGCAAGAACGGGGTGTATGTAATCAAATGCTTGTCCAAAAGCAGACGGGTGCCACACTAGGGGCCGCCCAGTTCCCGTGCCCCGAGATGGCGCAGCCAATCGGCGAAACTCGACATCGTCGTCGCCGAATCTCCTTCGAAGCTCCTCCTCCTCCTTTCCTCCTCCTTTCCTCCTCTTCCTTCTCCTGACTTTACTGTCCTCCTGTGCTTCGCGACCCATGCGTTCTACATGCCTATGGCACTGTGTCCTCTCGGGTGTGCTCTCCCATCAACCCCGACTGTATCCATATCCGCCGCCTGGGGGCGCGACCTTCCTGGACCTGGGGAGGCGGTGGATGTGGGTACATTTGGGCCCCAGGATTGGAGTCCCTTCCGCCGGCAGGGAAGGGATAAAGGGAAGGAGCTTCCCGTCGACTGAACTATGACGTTCCTTGGGACTGAAACCGCGACGACGACGACGACGACGACGACGACGACGACGACGACGACGACGACGACGACAGCGTCTTCCACACGCCGAAAGGTCCGCGGAGTTTGGGCGGATTTGGCCTCGACCCCCCCCCCCGTTCATGGATTTCCTGGGGGGCCATCCAGTTCAGATCCCACGGCCGGCTCCGACCCCAGGGGGCCCAACTATGTCCACATCCCCCGCCCATTCGGGCCGGGCCGGGCGAAAGGGTAGGATCGGGGACCGGGGGAGGTGCGACATCTGCTGCGTGCAACTAGTTTCCGCCCCGCCGCCGGGCCCATCCCTCGATGCACGGGTGCCTCCCGGCGCCAGGATCTGCACGCACGAAATGGGTACATAAAGAACGGGTACAATGCCCAACAGCAGTTCCTGTTCATTTGGAGCAGGACTCGCTGTCCGCGCATCCGCGGCCTGTGTCCATTTGACACAGAAGGCCGCCTGCCCAACCGCGGCCGCTGTGGGTTTGGGACACCAGTTGTTGTTGGGCAGTGTGCCCATTTGTTCCGTCCCCATTTCGGGCGTCCAAACAGGAGGCGCCAGAACATCCAGCCATGTGAGCTGGTTCCCTGCCTGCCCTGCCCTCTGCTGTCCTGCCCTTCCCGCCCCCCCCCCCCGACGGGGCGCCCTCGGACACGGGCTCCCCGGGGCGGTGGGCACGGCTTGTCCGCTCCCCGCCTCGCGTCCGCGCTCGCGTGCGCGTCGGGGCGCACCGCCCTTCTCGGCGACGCGCCTCGGCGATCGCCTCGGGCCCCGCCCAGCGGCGGAAGTCGAGCCCCCTCCGCGCCGAGCTGCGATGCAGCCGAGCAGACGTGAGGCTCGAGATTACGCTGGAACTCGGGCTTGCCAGCGCTTTTGGGCGAGCGCGTCCTGGAGAGTGACGGTCCAGTTCCCGTGGGATCTTTCTAGCGGGAGCTCTCGTCAAATTTCAAATTTGGTCTCGTCATTTTCAAGCTGGCCCCGTCAGGCCAACTCGAGTCTCCCGAACCCGAGTCTTACATCTCCCCGATTCAGGCAGCTCGATGGGCGGCGGGGCTATGGCTCGGAACTCGGCGAGCACGTGGCGAAATCCAAGCCCTACCCCCCGCCGCCCAACGATGCACGAGAATCGGTGCTTGATGGGGATAGGTCTCCCAGAGGAGCCAGAGGTCATGATACTGATACGTGTCAAGATGTTCAAGGCTTCCAGGGCTTTCCATATTTCCTAATGGTCCGCACTGGCTGCGCCGCTACATGCGCTGGAAATCCTGGAACGCATCCTGAGCCAAGCTTATGATGACATCGTTCTTGCCCTAGGTTTACGATGTTCCCACACTCTTTAGCCGCTGCCTTGGTCGCCAAAACGAGTTTCGAGCGCCAAGAGACTACCGAAACTGGGGCGTTTTCACGTGTCGGACCCCGGGAGGCGATCCTCGTTCGACACTTCGCCATAGCGTGCCAGGCCCACACTGCTTCCATAATTTTCTGGGCGCTTGAAATGATTTCTGGGATGTGGGCCGACGATGCTGATGATGATGCTGATGATGATGATGATGATGATGCTGATGATGATGCTGATGATGCTGATGATGATTATGATGATGTTTTTAGCTGCTGATGATGATGATGATGATGCTGATGCTGATGCTGATGCTGATGCTGATGCTGATGATGATGCTGATACTGATGATGATGATGATGATGATGATGATGATGATGATGATGATGATGATGATGATGATGATGATGATGATGATGATTATGATGATGATACGTCGCCACCCGGCCTCGTCGTCGTCGTCGTCGTCGTCGTCGTCGTCGTCGTCGTCCTCACTCACCTCCTCCTCCTCCTCCTGCTCAGTGGCACAGCCTCTCCCCCCTCCCCCTGCATAGGGCCCGGCGGAGGCCCCCCGCCGCATGGCCGCGCCGCTCCCGGCCGGCGCTCTCGCGCAGGACCGCCCCCCCCCGCGCCGGAGGGCAGAGGGGGCCCCGCCGGGCGCATGCTTGTCCCGAGACCCCCTCGGGTCATGAAAAAATCACGACGGGAAGTTTTTCGCTATTTTCGGCCTCTGGGGGCTCTCACCGGGCCTCGGGACCGTCAAAAAACTACTCAGGATGAAAAACCGGTCCCGGGGATTGGGTCCGGACCTCTGGGGGTCGCGTCAGGAAAAAATCATGACGTCGGGGGTCTGGGTCGCTGGCCCAGGCCCAGACAGGAGCGCGTCGTAAAAGCAAAACCATTGTCGGCCTCGGGGGGCCCTCGCCGGGCCCCGGGACCGTCAAAAAAGGACTGAGGAGGAGAAACCGGTCCCAGGGAACGGGTCGGGACTTCCAGGAACGCCGTCCTGAGAAAAGTCAGGACGTCGGTCGCATGTCTGGGGACCCCCTCGGGTCATGAAAAAATCGCGGCGGAAGGTTTTTCACGAACTCCGGCCCCATGGGGGCCCCCTTCCCGGGCCTCGGGACCGTCAACAAAACGGCTCGGGACGAGACACCGGTCCCGGGGAATGGGTCTGGACCTCTGGGGGTCGCGTCATGAATAAAAATCCCGGCGTCGGCGGTCTGGGGAGGAGCGCGATCAAACGAGGCGTTCCGGAGAGACCGGCCTCGCCTGCGAGTGCCGAAGGATCGGAGGAGAGAAAAAGAGGCACACATTGTTCGTTTCTCATTGTTCCAAAATTCTTGGATTCTCTGGGGGGCCAAGGTCCTTTCAATTCTAGTTGTTCTATCCTGGGCCTCTTCCTGGACTCCAGGGGGCCAGGAACAACTAGAAACAAGCACAAGTAGACATGAGCACAATCATCAGTAGAGAGAAAAAACACACAGACAATTAATCGTCGATCCCCAGGAAAATATGGGAACATATGGGAAATGGGAGGGGGGAGACGAAAACCCAGAAAATATATATGAAGATATGGGGAGTCGGTTCACTTGTGGGTATCTACTTTGTGTCCTTGGGCCCCTTCCAATCAGACATGAACGACGTGCAGCCCTCGGCGTTTGTCCCCTGCGTGGGCCTGCCGGGTCGTCGCCACCCCTGGCCTCGCTGCGAGAGCGGTGGTCAGCCTATGGACGCGCCCTGCGGGAGAGGCCCCTGGGAGCAGCGGCGTGCGGCAGGGGCACCCAGACCCGAGACCCCCTCGGGCCACGAACCATTCACGGCGGGAGGTGTTTCACTATTTTTTCGGCCTCGGGGGGCCCCTTCCCGGGCCTCGGGACCGGCAAAATGCGACTCGATCGGGATGGAGAGCCGGGTCCCGGGGAATGGGTCTGGACTTCCTGGGGGTCGCGTCGGGAAAGAATCGTGACGTCGGGGGTCTGGGGTCAGGATCGCATCGTTTAAACAAAAAATCAAGGCGGGAGGCTTTTGGCCGAGTTCGGCCTCGGAGGGGCCCTCACCGGGCCCCGGGGCCCCGCGGGAGGAGAAGCCGGCCCTTTGGGAAGGGGTCTGGATTTCTGGGGGGCGCCGTGCTTGACAAAAGCAGGACGTCGTGCAGGTCCGGGTGCATCTCATCTGGCTTCCCCGATCGGGGTTGCCATGGAGGAGGAGGAGGAGGAGGAGGAGGAGGAGGAGGAGGAGGAGGAGGAGGAGGAGGAGGGTGGCGGCAGAGTGAAGCGAGAGCGGCTGCGCCGGGACCTTTTTGGATGCGGTGTTCCCGGAATCGGCCAGGTGGTGGGGCGAAGGAGCGTGCACCGTTCGTGCCCCTGGTTGGGGCCTCAGGGGGCTCCTCCTGCAGGCCCAGACCCCATCGGGTCATGAACAATTCACGGCGGGAGGTTTTTCGCTATTTTCGGCCTCTGGGGGGCCTCGGGACCGTCAAAAAACGACTCAGGATGAAGAGCCGGTCCCGGGGAATGGGTCGGGACCTCTGGGGGTCGCGTCATGAAAAAATCGTGGCGTCGGGGGTCTGGGGGGCCTCTCCGGGGCACAGTGCAGGTGTACCTTGCTTACCCCCCTACACTTCTCGCCCCGCCTCAGTGCGCACCGCCCGACTCTGGCACAGGAGCGGCGGAGGATGGCGGCGTCGACCGTGCCGACGGTCGCGCGCAAGCTGCCCGCGCAAGGCCGCGCGTGGGCGCGCTCGTGTCCAGTGCGGCGTGCAGCGCGAGCGGCCCGCGTGAGCCACCGCGCGAGGTCGCTGTGCCATCTCGGGTAAGGCTTGTTTCTTTTCGTCGCTCGCACGACGCCTGGAAGAGGGTCGTGGTGTGGACCCTCTGCTTCGGGCCCGGGTCGGACGAACAGGCCGGGGCCTCGCAGAGGGGGGGGCTGTCCCGAGGTGGCGTCGGGACCGATGCAGCTGGATGCTCGCGGAGGGTTTCTCCGAAGGGCTTAGGGGACCCGTCCCCCTCCTCCTCCTCCTTCTCCTCCTCCACCTCCTCCTTCTCCTCCTCCTCCTCCTCTTCCTCCTCGGGTCGCCTACCTCTGGCAGTGCGCTCGGCACCGTGGTGAACCTCAAGAGTACCACGACGCGCTCCTCTCCGACCACGTCCCGCTGGAAGTCTCATGGCAATCGCGGCGATGGGAGTCCAATGGCGAGCCCCGCTCTCGGAAGATCCCTCGCAGCATCTTCAGCGATCCCCTCTACATGCCGATCCTTGTGGAGTACGGGAAGATTGCTGGCATCGGCGAGTTCGACACGTTCGCATGCTCCTTAGCGGCGGACCTCCACCTCTCGGCGCCGACGGAGCTTGAGTTGGCGACCCGCTGCCGGCAGGCTGCTGCGCGGGCTGTCCGCGATCTGCAGCTGCGTGACCGCCCAAGGACTCGTGAGAGCCGCTCCATGCTCCTGCGCTCTCTTGCTCGGGCTGTTTGGCGTCAGGATTTTCGCTTGGGTAACATCATCTGGCAAAGGCATCCGTGGCTCCGTTCCTTCTTCTCTGTGGACCCGTCGTCCTCGTCTGTCGTCCTCACCTCCCCCGATGCCTTTGCCCGTGCGCATTGCGATTTGCAGCTCCAGGAGGCCCAGGCCGAAACCGAACGGCTCCAACGGGCCGAAGGGGCATCTAGGGCGCAAGCACGCCAAGCTCGTCTTCGCTCCCAAGCGAGAGCTTTAAGACGCCGTGCCCAGATCTGGTCCCCATTTAATCGGAGAAGGTACTTGGCGGGAGTGGTGGAGGGCGGTTTGGACGGGGCGGCCTCGACTGTTCATGCCTCTGCCGAGGGTCAGACTGCGGCCCTCAGGGCCTACTGGAGCCCGATTTTTGAAAAGCAGCAGGAAGTCCCGAGCTGGGGTCAGCGCTATCTCTCGAAGTTTGCCTCTGAGCAGGACTTTTCCCAACTCTGCCCTCCCTCGCTCGCCTCGATCCGACGTTTTATTCGACGTGTTTCGCACGCAGAACCTGGCCCTGATGGGCTTGCGTATGCCGCCTGGGGATTCGGGCAAGGCCCTTTGGTCCTTTTAAACGCGTTCCACTGGCTGGCGAGCGGCCAACGTATGCATCTCGACTTTTATGCTTGTCTGCTGGTTTTCATTCCGAAGGGGGTCCTCGATGGCGATGATGAGCGCTTTGGAGGGTTTGTTCGCCATGGGAAGGACACTCGCCCCATCGGTTTGAAACACACGAGCAACAAGATCGTTGCTGGGGTCACCAACTCGGGTCTGTCGGATGCGGTGAAAAAGATTGGCGCCCCCGTGCAGCGAGGCTTCATTCGAGGCCGCAACTTCGTTTCAAATGTACACGAGCTCGATGCTCACGCCAGACTTATCAGTGCACGAGGGCTACCAGAAGGGGCCATTCTGGCCTTCGTCTTTGCCCAAGCCTTTCCATCGGTCAGCCAACCCTGGCTGATGAGTGCGCTGCGGCAGGTCAAACTTCCTCGCGGGTGCTCGTTCGCGGTTCAAGGCTTCTTTCATCTCAATCCCTGTCTCTTCTCTGCCCGCGGTCTCCTTCTCCCTCTCTTATTCATGATCTCTGGTGTGCTTCAAGGTTGTCCCCTCAGCGGCAGCCTTTTTGTCATTGCGGTTGATAGCTTTCTCTGGGACATGTTTCGTAGTGTGCAGAGACCAGGTCACGGCCAGATTCGGGCTTGTGCAGATGACATCGGCGCCGTTCTTTCATCTCGGAAAAGGCTATCGTGAGACTGCCCGCATCTTCCGTAATACTGAACATCTTGCGGGGCCCACTCTTAAAGCCGAGAGATGCCGTGTCGTCCCGCTTTGTGTTGCCCTCTCCGATAGTCTCGCCAGCGACTTTCGACCGCTCCTCCGTGAATGCACCCGCGCTCGTCCCGAAGCCACCATCCCACCGAGCTCGGCCTGCTGGGAGGAATTCGAAATTGCTTCCGGGGTTCTGTACTTGGGGTTTTGGCTTGGTCCTGGGGTCAACTCTCTGCGCAACCTTCGTGCTCCTCTCAACAAGATGGCCGCTAGGACTAGGGCGATCGCGGATGTGAGGCAGGATCTCTCGACGGGGGTATCTCTTTACAGCCAGCGGGCGCTCAGTGTCCCATCATATGTTCTGCAGTTGGTCCCGATCCCTTGGGAGGTCGCCAAAATCGAGCGGCAGTTTTTGGCCCAAGTCTTCAAGTGGCCGATGTCGGCCCTCCGTCACTCCGATTGGTTTAATCTCGGCACTTGGGGCGGCCCACGAGTGCGGTCGCTCTACATCACTGCTGCCGCCGCTGCCATGCGTACCGCTCTGGTCACGCTCCCGCACTGGCCCTCTACTCTCCGCATGCTTCGGGACGGTCTTGTCGAGAATTGCCCCATGTCGCTTTGGCAGTCGCCCCTCCTCGCCCCTGCCTTCTGGCGCTCCCCGCCTCTTGTCCTTTACCTCGAAGCCGCTGCGAAGGGATTTCCTGGGGATCGCAGGCTGTGTGTGGGCGGCGGGAGGGCGGTTCGGCGGTCCCTTGAAGGTTCTTCGATCCCCAGGCCCAAATGGCAACGGATTTTCGCAGCGGAGCTGCAGGCAGCACTGTTCTCCCTCTCTCTCGAGGGCCTTCTGGAACGACGAGTG